TACGTCAGCCTCAGATCCGACCTCCATCCTTCGAGGCTACGTTGGACCCGACCTCCATTTATCGCGGAATGGTGCTGGCCTGGACGTTGGTCGATCTTGCACTAACATTGCTTCAGCATCTACCCCCTGACGGAAGTCATGATTATTTTCTGTAAAAAAGGATTCTAACCTTCTTGCCGTGGATGCTAAACTGGCCAGATCTTGAAAGTCGTGGGCTGTCAGGGCCTCGCGAAGTCTGGTATGCATGTTCCTGACCACCAAATTGGTCATTTCGCTTTCATTGATCATCGTAGGACATCGTCCCTTCATCAATCGCATCCTCTCTATGAATTGGTAGCCGGTCTCTTCCGGCATCTGCGTGATCTCCAGAAGGTCTATCAGTGAGACTGTCGGCAGAGGATTAAAGAACCTTCCATGAAAATCTGCCTCTAAATCTTCCCAAGTTTGCAACTGTCCAGGCGGCAGACTGACATACCAAGAAAAAGCTGTTCTTGTGAGCGACAACCCAAACAATTGTAACTTGTGAAACGGATTGTTGCCTACTTCTCCCAATTGAGCCGTGAAGCGACCCACATGCTCAATGGTAGAGGCTCCGTCTTCTCCCGAAAAAGAATAGAAGTCTGGTGGCCTATAATTTCTCGGGAGAGGATGATCGTTAATGATCCTTTCTGGAAATGGCCTCTGGTAAACCGGCCTGTTCACCGTTTGCAGATTCATTCCGAAATGCACCCGCAGAACTTGAGCAATATCCTTCGGATCTACTCTGGGTGGAATATGGTCGAACACTGGAATGTGATCGTGAGTCTGACCTCTCAATCTTTCTTCTCTGGAGAAGGCTGGTTCGGCTGGGATGGGATTATGAGTCTGTCCCCCCACCCTATCTTCCCTTACGATATTCGGCTGCACATTTTCAACCATTGGTCCCAAAGGAACATTATCAGGGAACATTAGAGGAGTCTTCCCCCTATCTGTTCGGTTGACAGTTGTGGCACTTGGAAATGTACTATCAACATATGATGGTTCTGCAAACGTTGATCCTGAGAAAGTCGCCTGAAAACGAGAAGGTGACACGGCTGGAAGCATGTTTGGATACAGGGTGAATCTGGAGAATGCCTGATCCAACATGTTTTGCATTAGATTTTGTTGTTCACGCAACATGTTCTGCATAAACACAGTTTGCTGATTGTTCATTTGTTGAACATAAGACAACCAATCGGTAGGTGGTGGGGAAATCTCCCTTGGATTTGGCATGACTGGTGGTGAAATATTCTCTCCCACTGGTGCTGATGATGATTGAGGTTGTGTGCCTGCCATATTGATCTTTCTGATGATTCGGCCAGACCTCAGTTGTATGACATTTTGTATTGATGTAGGATCAGCAATCTTGCCTTTCTCCCACTGTGGTCGCCAATTTGTTGATGTAATTTTTCAACAAAAATAAAGTAAAATTCAAAGATATAGAAAATATCCTTAAACTTGATTAATTAGTGCCTGAGATTAGGAATCTCTAAACACTGTATGGTACAGAAAATAAACTGGAAAATAAAAGACTGAAATTTAAAGTGGTGATCCCCAAATCTGACTTTGCTTTGTTGAAGTTGATTGAAGATGCCTTTTCTGACGGATTTGAATCCTTTAAATAGCCTTTCAGAGAAAACGGTTTGAACCGCCGTCTGGTCGGTTACAGCAACCGCTGTCAACCGACCACCAATTTCTCCTCTATTGACACGTATTACAACTTCCTTCAACCGTTCCCACCAGTCACAGAACTCAGACCTGCCTCTTACCCGACCTGCCTGTCCACTGCCAAATTTCTTTTGCCCGACTTCGTCCTTCGCCCGACCTGCTTCTTCGCCCGACCTCACTTGGGCCGACCTCCGCATCAGCCGCCCTCCGTCTTTGACCGAAGACCTCCGCGTCTGTCCGTACCTCTTCCTTGCCCGACCTTCCTCTTGACAGACCTCCGCGTCTGCCCGACTTCGCCTTCCATCCGATCTACGGTTTACCCGACTTGGGTACACCTTTTTTTTAGACTCCGCCCGACCTGACTACAGCCCGAACTGCTGATCACGGACAACCATCTCTTGGTAGTACCTGAGTCTGGATTTGGATCAATTCTTGAGATCTTACCTTTCTTCCTTTTCCCGACCTTTATTCTGCCCGACCTCCAGACCTTTTGGCTTTCATTCAGACCCTACCCAGAATCCTACTGCCACTTACTATTATTATTATTTTTTGTGCTTAACAAGTATATTTGTAATGAAATTCTATTCTTAAAGTTCACGTAGCTAACATAATTTCATCTCTAATTTCATCTCTAACATCATTAGTAACAGAAAAAGTGAATTTAGGAACGAAAAAATCTCGTTATAAAATTGATAACTTCTTGTAGTGATTATATTATAGAGATATGATTTAGATTTTAGATATATCCTAGATTTAGTATATGATTTAGATATTCTTGACATAGACTTATGCTATAAATAGGCATGTGTTTCCATTTTGACAGGTTGCCATACGGCCAGGTCATTAGGCCAAGCGGCTCAAATCCTGCAATAAAATCTGTTCTCCGTTTTTGTCCGTGGAGGTAGCCAACTTGTTTTTTATGAACCACGTAAATTTGTGTCTTCTTTACGTTTTGTGTTTGTTATTCGATCATCAACCTCAATCCGTCATAATAAACTGGTATCAGAACCTGGTCGTTTCGATCAAGGTTTTGTTTATTTCCGCACTATTAGGGTTTCGTGAGTCGATCAACAATGTCTGCTTTCAACGTAAAGGTTGACAAATTCACCGGGAATAGTTTTGGCTTAAGGAAGATTAAGATGCGATATTTGTTGAAGCAGCAGGATTTGTGGGCGCCGCTATCTGGAAAACCGAGAGGTAAAGACGTAGATGATGAAGAGTAGGATATTGCAAAGGAGAAGATTCACTCGACAATCATGCTTTGTCTGTCCGACAATGTAATCATCGAAGTTGCCGATCAGGAAACTACCGTTGGCCTCTGGCAGAAGTTGGAGAGTTTGTACATGACTAAATCTCTAACCAATAAGTTACTTTTGAAGCAACGTCTGTTCAGGCTACGAAGGTAGTTGCCCGATAAGGGGCAAATCTGAGGCAGAACGGAGAAGTCTGTTCGTCTGGCATCGTAATGATGCATCTGGAAGTGGGATTAAAGTCAAGGTGGAGATGCCTTGAAGCTTGTTTGCCACTCGTTCGTCTAGCATTGTAATGATGCATCTGAAAGTAGGATTTAAGTCAAGGTGGAGATGCCTTAAAGCTAGTTTGCCACTTGTTCGTCTGACATCGTAATGATGCATCTGGAAGTGGGATTCAAGTCAAGGTGGAGATGCCTTGAAACTAGTTTGCCACTTGTTCTTCTGGCATCGTAATGATGCATCTGGAAGTGAGATTCAAGTCAAGGTGGAGATTCCTTGAAACTAGTTTGCCACTTGTTCGTCTGACATCGTAATGATGCATCTGGAAGTGAGATTCTAGTCAAGCTGGAGATGTCTTGAAGCTAGTTTGCCACTTGTCCGTCTGGCATCGTAATAATGCATCTGGAAGTGGAATTTAAGTCAAGGTGGAGATGCTTGAAGCTAGCTTGCCACTTGTCGTCTGGCATCGTAATAATGCATCTGGAAGTGGAATTTAAGTCAAGGTGGAGATGCTTGAAGCTAGTTTGCCACTTGTTCATCTGAGGCAGAATGGAGGAGTCTGTTTATCTGACATTGTAATGATACATCTGGAAGTGAGATTCAAATCAAGGTGGAGATTTGTTAATATGTCTTGAATCTAGAGATATGATTTGAATATTAGATATTATATCCTAGAGATATAATTGAGATATTAGATATTATATATCCTAGATTTAGATATATGATTTAGATATTATTAACATAGGCTTATGCTATAAATAGGCATGTATTCTCATTCTGACAGGCTGCCATACGGCCATGCTAGGCCAAGCGGCTCAAATCCTGTAATAAAATTTGTTCTTCGTTTTTGTTCGTGGAGATAGTCAACTCGTTTTTTGTTAACCACGTAAATCTCTGTATTTTTTACGTCTTCTGTTTGTTATTCGATCATTAACCCCAATCTGTCAAAACAGGGAGGTTGGGAGTGGATTAGCCAGCAATAAGGTCGGTGAGTCCGTGAGTAAATTAAATATAATTATCATCTATATTATAATCATATTATTTCTTCAATGATTCTTCTATCCGAAATCAATCTATATATTTTGTTATTTTAGTCTAAACTTCTACAACTTATAGATTATTACAAAAATATCAATCATCATTGTTTAATTAACTTAATTTTTTTAATTGGTAAATTTGATCATTCATACATCTTTTGTACTATATACATATAACATACTATATATATATATATAATATACATTTAAAAAATAAATAAATATATAATAAATTACTTTTTTAATTACATACTAACTGAAAAGTATAATTTTTAAAAATCCAAATTATACAATATTGGAAATTTTTAAAACAATAATGAATAAAATTTAATTTGAATATATTTTGTATGTAGTATTTACTCTCATTTGATTTAACAATGTAATATTTGCAGTAGATTTAATAATTTATTTCATATTTTTTTGTGATGTAATATTAATATTTATTTAGTAATATATTTATTATAATATGAATATTATATTTGATTTATAATTTACAAAATAGTATAATATATAAACTCTAAATTTAAAATATCAAATATAAAAAAAAGTATGGGGCAAAAATGTAAAAAAAAAAAAAAAACTTTTAAAAATAGAAAATGTTTAGCCTTAAAAAAATTATTTATATTTTGAATTTACAAATATATTGTATTCATGTTTGAAGTGAGGCTTGAAGCACTACTAGCTAAAGCTTCATATTATGTCACAATACCAATTCACCTAAGCAGAGGTAAAGAGAACTAACATAGCAAGAGGCAAAGAGAAGCTGCAAGTATGAAGTCAGAGAAAGTTATAACTAACTCCGGCAAATAACAATTCACAATATCTTGGAATTTTCAAGCAATTTTTAAAATTGTTTTAAAAAGATTATTCAAAATCTTATCTGGCGGTGTGCCGCAACCAGCTCCGCCGTCGTCGCTGGCGGAGAAGAAAGACGAGGAGGAAGAGGCGACGCCGTTGCTACTGCCGGCCCTATCGCCTCCGCCGGCCCCGCCATTTCCGCAGCCGTCGCTGCTGGAGGAGGAGGAGTAGGAGACACCGTTGCCGCATGGCTGCTGTCACCACCGCAGAAGGAGGACGAGGGGAAAATGACACCGTTGCCACTGCCGGCCCTGCGTTTTCCGTAGCCTCCATTGCTGTTTCCGCTGCCAGGCCTGCCGGAAAAGGAGGAGGGGGAGATCCACTACAAAAAAATAATATATTTGTAACGGAATTCCGTCTCTAAAGTTCACGTAGCTAACGTAATTCCATTCCTAATTCTGTCTCTAATGTCATTAGTAACGGAAAAAGTAAATTTAGAGACAAAAGCGTATTGTTACAAAAATGATTTTTTTTTGTAGTGAGAAGACGCTGTTGATAATATGTTATTTAGATATAGTAATGTAAATGTATATTTACTTGTAATTTGTAGTTTTATTTATTTTAATTATATTGCTGTAATATTCTAAATAAGTTAATAATTCTAAAATTATACAATTAAATATGGTAAAAAAAAAAAAAGTTTACTGAATTGAATTGAATTGTGTACAACTTAATTTAATTAATTCTATAAATACCAAATTCAAATTGATTTCAAAATGAGATATTTGAAATGGGAAAATATGAATTTGAAACGAAATATTTTTGAAGAATATCCGAAAAAATTGAATTTTAATATAATCCGAATTACCACTTTCGTTTTCGATGCATACTCTTAGTCAAACAATCAAATAGTTTCGAGTTTCAAGTGGAAATGAAAAAATAGAGATATTGAATTCGAAGCCTAATCCAAAGAGTCTCTCGAAAGAGAAGAAAACCGTTCATGAGACAGGGGAGAGGAGAGGGTAGAGCAGCCGCGAGGGTGAGTTTTTCCGATGAGTTCCGACGAGTGTTTTCCAGGGAGATTAGAAGTCTTTCTTTGTTTCGATTCCGGTGGGTGTCGAGACTTAGAGCGTGAGCCAGCCTCCACCCTGTGGGCGTGGTTACCTTGGGCCAATATGGCACCATCGAAAACCATCGTCCCTCTCGCCGGAGAAGATTTGAGGAACAGTCGCCGCTTCGGCGTCGCCGAAGCGCCTCTGGTCGGATCTGCCTGGAGTCTCTGTCCCAGCCGCGCCGTGTGGGAGGAAAAGCTTCTGGGTGGTCGATTGGATCGTTATCGCCGTCGACCGGTTGTCATCCACTGTGCGATTTTTTGGACGAACATGGAGTAATCCATTTCAATCCCTTTTCTAATTGCAATTCGATTGAGGGCTGTTTGTTTGTCTTTTGTTTTCCCTAATTTCACTTTTATTTAGCTTTTATATTAATTTGGTTTTATCTGATAATTCGCTTCCACTAATATTCTGTATTTTGTATTTTGTATACGATGTTTTGTTCGAGTAAAGTCCATGGATCCGAGAATTAATTCACAATAGATATTATTCTTGATTTAATTTTACATGGATAGTAAAAACACTAAGCAAGTAGTTTGATCGTAACTAGCTGTAAATTGTGAGTAAAAACACCAGCAAATCATATGATGCCATGTGTATTTTTATTTTTATTAAAATTTTACTCCGTCCGTCCCACGTACCATGTCCAAGTTGTCGTTTCCGTTCGTCCCACATACATGTCACTTTCCTTTTTTTTAAGAAAATAATTACACACTCACTTTACACGACATACATACGATAATATAGTCCTCCATTCGCCAACTTAATTTCGAATAAGATTAATCAAACTCCGCCTCTATACTAACATAAGGTTCGCGACGTCTGTATAGTTTACCCCATCCATAAGACTCTAAGTCCTCCAATGTTGTTGTAGTTTCGTCAAAATCAACAGTCTTTACAATCTACACAATAAGACCCTCCGAATTAGTCATTAATAATCAATACATCATAGATTATTAATTTAATTGAGTGTGGGATTATACAAGTACATTATTTATTGCTTTCCGGGCGGCTTCCCTGAGGGCTTGTATGGACTTGACTTTTGTTTGTGCTTCATTCTTTACTTTTTCTGAATCAATCCAATTAACAAATAAATAAATAAATAATATGATTACATTAAAAAATGTATGTACAACAATCAATATATACAAGATGTAGATATAAGTAAATACCTTCGAACATTTCTTTTCTAAATCTTTCTTTTTCAAGCTCTATTTGTTGGGTATTGGAATTTCCACTCTAAAAATGATTGAAAACAAATAAATTTAATTATATAGAAACAAAATAACAAAACTATGTTATTGTGATTATGATCGAAGGATCGGTTATATTTACCGTACGATATGTCGCTTTGAAAATGGTGTCGGCAAATCGTGCTTTCAGTGTTGCAGCGCGTAAAGCCTTACTCGGCGACAATGGGGGCAAAATACAAGAATCCGCGAAGCCACCTGCATCTGATTATGAGGACACTACCTTAAATAATCAGTTAATAACATGAGATTTCTATAATTAATTAATTAATTGATTATACCTCCAACAACCGTCGTGGAAGTAGTAGTAGCTGAAAGCAGTGGAGGAGCTGGTCTATTGCAGTTTCCGACTATCCCTTCTTCATTCTGACACAGTATATAAATTTGCATCTAGATCAATAACTATATACATTAATTAATACTCCCTCCGTCCCGCAAGAAGGTTGTCATTTTGTTTTGGCGTCATTGTACTTAACATTAAAAATATTTTTATATTTGAATAATTTACTCGAAAAATATCATTGTATTTGTATTATAAGAGACTAATAAACGTATTTTTGTTTTTTTTTGCTGATTTCTACGGCGTATTGATATAATAATTATCATTCAAATATTAATATGCAAAAAGTTCATGACAACCTTCTTGTAGGGCGGAGGAAGTATATCAAAAATATGAAATATATGGTTTGATCACTACTCACCATACGTTTAGGAACAGAACACGACTCAATATTATTATCATTATTTTGTCGTTGTACTGGTCCTACTTTTGCAGGCTTGTTGTTGCCACCTGAAATATCAAAAGAAGTCACAACACGATTGTGCACTGCATATCATTCCACCCTCAAAACAAAGATATATATATCATGTTAACGTAGGTACGTACCTTTGCCTTTCCGGGGATTCGTCGTCGTCTTCATATTTGTTGTTTTTGTTTGCGTCTTTGTTCTTACATTCAGCCGGTCGATTAGCGACCGTCTAGGCGCCATTAATGAAGTGTCTGTCCAAAATTTACATTATCAAGCTAAACCAATCTCAATAATGAATACGACTTGTGGCATCACCGAAAGGATCAAAACCACATTCATAGACTCTAAGAGGGAAGGGATCCTCGGCATCGCCCCTCCCTGCAGGGTAGGGGAGGTTGGGGCCGAAGATCTCATCCCACTCTAAAGCATTGTATGATCATCGGAAACAACAATCTTCACCATCTACACAATGTGAATTAGCCAACATTGTATGGAAGGTATGCATGGTAATGCATCAGCTATCATACAACATGGAGAAAAGTAAAGAAGAAAGACAGATACTCACCGTCAAGAAAGAAACCAAGAAACTTAGAAGCTACACGATTACTCTCTCTCTCTCTCACTCTCTCTCGCACTCTCTCGGTGTGAAAATGTTATAATGACAAGGAAAACCGTTTTATTTATGAGATGCGGAGGTTGAAGGGGGAGAACCACTTAAATAATGATTAATTAATTAGTTAATTATTAAATAGTTAATCGTATTTTATTGTTAAAAGATATACTTAAATTAGATATAGATAATATCTTTAGCATATCGCAAACCAATTATAATAAATAATTAATTTAAATCTGATAAATTATTTGTTTAGATATAGCAACTAATTTTATAACGGTTTAAAAAAAAAAAAAAATTATTTTTGTTGCATACATCTCTATCTATTATACATAAATATTAAATCAATAAAAAGTTAGCCAATTCGTAGCTAAGCCAATCGACCCAACTGAAATCTGAATTTTCCTTTCGTATTTGCGTAGTTTCCAGGGATTTTTTCCTTGTGACAATTCTCCATGAGAGTTCTTCCTGAGTTTCCAGTGAGAGGTCTTCTTAATTTGGAATAATCCCTGGTAAGTTTTCGATAAATTTTTACCAAAAAAAAAAAAGAAACATACAACAAATTAATTTTATTATATAGAAATAAAATGACAAAAATACATTATATTATTATTATTGCTAAATTCTTAAATACCATGCAGTGTTTAGCTCGATAAATAGTGTTGGAGATCGGGTCGGGATCGTCGGTCTAAACATTGCCCAATCTATTCAGTTCACCCAAGGGAGAGACACCATATGTATTTTATATTTAATATATATATAATTACAATATTTTACATTATTTGCATTTTAATCCCCTTTCGCTTATTTACTTTCTCACCCTTCCTCTCTCATTCTTCCGTCCAAGTCAGACAATTCTTTCCGCGCTCTCTCTCTTCGAAATCATTCCCACCGGCCACCAGCCGTGCCGGCGCTGAAATCGGTCTTACCGGGGACGTCGAAATCATTCCGACCAGATTTGTTTCAATTCAATTTCAAGATGAAGTTTAGAACAAGCTGGTTTGCCGGATCCAAAACGACTAAAATGCAATTTTGATTTAAGTTAGAATTTAGGTGGTTTGAGTGCTGCAGTACGTAGAGCTTTTGTGGGCGACAATGAAGGAAAAGTGGAAGTGTCCAAGCAGCACCCTTCAGAGAAAGTACGGATTGAAGCAAAATCAAAATTGATGTTCATACAAGCCCACCGAGAAGCTGCCCGGACCAAGATAAATAATGTACTTATATAAACGCACATTTAATTAAAGGGTAAACTATCTTTTTTTTAGTCTCGTAACTAGACTTTTTTATTATTTTAGTCTCGTAAGTGGAGTTTGTCGCAAACTAGTCCCATAAGTGAAAACTTCTCGCTGTTTTAGTCCTCCGGCGCCGGAGACGCCCGCGTGGCTCGCCGGAGGTGACGTGTCCGCCAGGTCAGCGACACTTGGCGGACACGTGGATTTATTTTTTATTTTTTTCATTTTTTTATTTTTTTTAAATTGGGCCAAATAAAAAAAAATATAAATAAAATTAAAATAAATTAAAAATAAGTTTTAAAAAATTTAAAAAAATCCACGTGTCTGCTAAGTCAGCAACACCTGGTGGACACGTCACCTCCGACGCCGGAGGACTAAAACAACGAAAATTTTTCACTTATGGGACTAATTTGCGACAGACTCCACTTACGGGACTAAAATGATAAGGGAGTCCAGTTACGGGACTAAAAAAAACAGTTTACCCTTAATTAAATTTTTTATCTATGGAGAAATTCGATCGGACAAGACTGTTACGTCTTGTAAATAAGCATGTCAGATCATTAGCTGTAATATATGAAGATAAATTTTAAATGTAATTGGTTTGCAAGTTTTGTTAAACATTAGTTCTAATTTTAAAATGCTCTCTAATTTTCTTCAAATTTTAAAGTTCTCTTTAACATTTAACTTCGAGAATAAAACAATGAGAAAAGTTCACTTCACAAAAAATTTAGTTAACAATCGATTGTTGCAAAAAAAAAATTAAATTTCTATGTTAAAATGGATATGGATGCCAAAATAATCATACAACACTGCATGCTTCCATGAATGCTTTATAGTATTTATTTTAATACCAACATAAGCAAATACTTCCTCTTCCTCTTCCTCTCTCACACATAAACTGTTCATCTTTTATATTTTTGTCTGTTTTATATAATTTGTCTTTTTATTTTTTGAAAATAAAATTATTCACTTTAATCACAATTTATAATTTATAATTTTTTAAATCTTATTTTTCACAATTTATAATTTTTTAAATCTTATTTTTAATCTTAATATATATTTATTTTTATTATACATTTGGACGGAGGGCAAGGGGGCTGCCCCTACCCCACCCCTTTAATTTGTATTGTATTTTATTTTTATTTGAATACATATATATATATAATGTGAAATCCTTATTTCTCTACTTTTTTTTTTCTTTTTTGTTTTTTTAACATGTATATATATATAATATTTATATATGTAATATAAAAAAATTAATGAGGATAAACTAAAGATATATTAAAATTTAATATATGGTGGGGAATAAGGGTATAGTCTAAGTGGCAAAGCCCTCAACCTTCGGCTCTTTTTTTTTCGCTATTCGGCCAATAACCAAGGAATGGCAAGGACTGTCATGCACGTGCTACACAAAAGAAAGCAAGGGGAATTCTGAGATTTTTGGGTGAGAACCTTCTTTTATTATTACAACCTTCTTCTTTGATGTCCAAGACCAAGAGCTAGGTGCAAATTCTCATTGGATCTCGGTTGTTCTTTACAGATGGCTATTCATTT